ATATAATTTTGTCTCAACTTGAGTCCTTTAGAGCAGGAGTGCTGGTAGATACCGTAATCTTCTCAACATCCTTCTCTGTTTTGTGTGTAGTCATAAACTGAAATCTGATCTAACCAGGCCACTGAGAGTATTATCTCTGAACTGCTTTTTAATAGCTTTTTTTGTAACATTCAACTTTTAAATAACTTGACAATTGCTATAGCTATTACTGTTTACGATACTAAGTATCATTTGTGCTAACAATGTGGCCAAGTACTTAAGTAGAACGAATACAGACAGACTTCAGCCTTTTCAGGAGTCCCTACTGTCCAGGTACATTAATAAAGTTACAGAGTTACAGTGTTGCTTTCTACCTAGCTGGTTTGTATGCCATGTGCTTGATACAGAGTGTGTATGGAGAAGTCTTATGTCAGCAGCTTTTGAGGACAGTCAGTTTTGGGTCAGAGTGATGTCGTATATGGCAGTTCTAGCTGACAGTTGTTTCTTTTTTCATCCATGGAAGGTCCAAAAGAAACCAAGTGACCACATTGAAACAATTACTTTCTGATAAACATTGTCTGGCATCCATGGAGAAAGATGCATGGTACTATTAAAATTACATGAGCCTTCAGGCAACAGTATGAATCAGTCCTTTACAGGTGCAGAATGGTGATTTTGCCTACATGTTCTTTTTCCATGAGGACACGTGTCCCTCATCTACATTACACAGATGAATAGGTGACAAACAGGATTTATTTTGTGGGTAGTAAAGAGAGAAAATCTGAAGTGAATCAGGTGAAAACTTGATGCTAGAGCAAGGAATGTTACTGCAACCTTTCTCAGTCTCAGAGAAATTCAGCAATATCTGTGTTCTTGGGAGAAAAGATCTAAAATTTGGTTGAGGATATTAGAATAAAAATAAAATGTATAGATTGTTGCTTTTCAAGGTTTTAATGTTGATTTATGTAAGGCAGGCTTTTGAATTTTTATGTGAGGTGTTCTCAGTAGACCTGTGCTTTTATTTGTGATCAATAAAACTATAAGTAGCTGATGTTCATAGGAAGCTAACATAGATTTTCCAGTTAGATTTGTGTTTACTTTCTTAGAGTAATTATTTCAGTGCCACTTTTGCCATGGTCTACCCATGGTTTAAATTAATTTCTAATTCTAAGTAGGAGAAAGTGATGCTGCTCGCTTAAATTACAGCATTGGGACTGTCCTCTTTAAAATCTTGTGTTTAACTGTTAATATACTTCACTATCCAAAAATATATTATCCAAAAGATAATTGTGAGACTGTAGAAAGCATGATTGTGGCACTATGATTTACACAGCATAAAGAATAATGGGCAAATTGGAACTTGTGGTTTAAATTACAACATAAAATCAGTGGCATGATACAAACAAACATCAAGGCTTTAAATTAAAATATGGGTCTTCCATCTTTTGGTACAGTAAATAATTATTTTGGCTCTCTAGATTTTCATCAGGACTGTCTATGCAGCAATGCTATTTCATTTGAATTGTATTTCACACAGAGCTAATCTGTGTTCTGAAATTCTTACTCTTAAGTGAACAACAAAAGCGGATTGTGAAGTAAGCTATGAAAATTAAGCACAACATTTAAAAAATAATCACGTTTTTACTCAGGTCCTTAAAAAACTTGCATGAGGCAAAAAAGGGGGAAAAGTGGTATTGTAAAATTCTCTGGTTCTCTAGTTCTGCATGTGCTTACTGAGTAGCCTCCAATGAAGAAAGACGTTAGGACTTTATATACTGATTCTGGTGTCAGGATTTCAGTTGTCTCTGAAGGTGAGTAGCTAAGGGCAGTGGTGCAGAAAGTGTGGGTTATATACTGAAGCTGTCTGGTGGAGATGAGACTGCCTGTTAGTGCCTTTCCTGTGAACAGAGGTATGTTCTGTATTTACTCTTCCCTGTTCAGCATAACTGAACATGAGTAAGCTGCTTAAGAGGAAGTGCACAGCATTCAGATGTTGTAGTTACTGGTATTTTTGGGAGGTTGCCACTGGGAGGTTTGGTCACATTGATACTTGCTTTTCTCTGTAATTGTACCTAAGCTGCAGGGGGAAAATAAAGATACTGACAACATAGATTCCTGGACTTGTGTCCTCTAAGAAGAAAAAAAGTAGACAGTATGACTTGGAAAACAAATTGCTGCACTCTAAACAATTCTCTGAGACAAAACTAAGAACATCAAGATGATTCCTAACGCGTTTGTAAGTTGTTCACTTCAAAAATTTAACACTTCCATCTTTTTGCAGCAATACACATTTTCACAAAAATACCCCAAAGATTATTTGGAATACCTACTTTTCTGCAATGCAGTAAATACCAGTTATTAACATAGATGAAGAAACTAGTCAACTACTGAGCTTTAGTTACATCTGCATTTTGAGGTCTCTTCCTCTTCTTATGTAGAGTTAGTAGCACGTGGGATATTTTGCTCTACTGAAGCTAGCTATTAGTCCCACATTATATTTGTGAATCAATGTGATGGTGCTTCTGTTTTCTTCTCAAGATACTGTATGAAATGCAGATTTGTTTAATGATGGGTGATGGGGAAACCAAGGATATCAGGAACTTCATGAAGATGGCGATTGTGTTTTGTCACAATGTTAATGTATTTTCATCGCTTTTTACAATCTGGTGTTCTAACAAGTGTGGAAGGGGGTCAGATTTCTCTTCTTTTTCACAATCATATGAATTTAAAGTTCTTAGTAATTGGCAACTGCATTTTGGAATTTCAGCCTCATGACATCATCTTTTCATGGGGTTCCAGAAAGCTTATATACAGTATTGCTGTAAGGATTAGTCCCCTGAAGCAAAACAGCAGTGTGTATGTGTTCCCCTTCTATCATTTAGTATGTTGTATATCACAGAATCATACACTGGTTTGGGTTAGAAAGGACCTTAAAAATCTAGTTCTAACCCCCCTGCCTCTGGACTCACTCTGGACACTTCCTGTGTTGGGGGCTCCAGAACTGGACACAGGTGGGGTCTCACAAGAGCAGAGGGGGATAATGACCTCCCTTGACCTGCTGGCCACACATTGTCTGGTGCAGCCCAAGCCACTGTTGGCTTTCTGGGCTGTGAGCGCCATTGCCAACTCATGTTGAGCTTCTTGTCAACCAAGATTCCAAAGCCTTTCTCCTCAGGCTGCTCCCAATCCATTCTCCACCCTGAGGAACACCACTCATCACTTTTCTCCACTTGGACATAGACATTGACAACAATTCTTTTGAGTGCAACCATTCAGCCAATTCCTTATCCACAGAATGGCCCATCCATTGAATTAATATCTTTCCAATTTTGAGACCAGGATGTCATGCTGGACAGTGTCAAATGCTTTGCACAGGTCCAGGTAGATGACATCAGTTGCTCTCCTCTTGTCCACCAGTGCTGTGACTCCATCATAAAAGGCCACCAAATTTTTTCAGGCATGATTTGCCCTTGGTAAAGTCATGTTGGTTGCCACCAGTCAACTCCACATTTTCCATGTACCTGAGCAGAGCCTTCAGGAGACTCTGCTCCATGATCTTGCCAGGCACAGAGGTGAGACTGGCCTGCAGTTCCCTAGGTCTTCCTTTTTTCCCCTCTTTGAAAATGGGGTTATATTTCCCCTTTTCCAGTCAGTGGGAACTTCACCACACTGCCACAACTTCTCAAATACAATGGAAAGCATCTTTGTAACTTCATCAGCCAGTTCCTTCAAGAGCCGTAGATGGATCTCATCAGGTCCCATGGGCTTGAGCATCTTCAGGTTCTTTAGATGATGTCAAACTCTCTCTTCTCCTACAGTGGGCAATATTACTTTTCCCAGTCCCTGCCTTTGCCTTCTGCAACTTTTGCCCAGGTGTCCTGTTTCCTTCTGGAGAGGGCTCACATTTTCCCTTGTCTTTTATCACTGATGTAACTGTAGAAGCTTTTCTTGTTGCCCTGGATGTCCCTGTCCAAATTTTAATTCTTACTTGGCCTTTAGCTTTCCTAACCTGATCCCTGGCTGCTTGGACAACTTATGTCTTTGTACTCTTCCCAGGCTACCTGTCCTTGCTTCTGCCTTCTTTAGACTTTGTTTTTACATCTAATCATGTCCAGGAGCAACTTGTTCATACATTTAGACCTCCTGGCATTCTTGTCTGCCTTCCTCTTTGGTGGGATGCATTGCTCCTGGGCTTGGAGGAGGTGACCCTTGAATACTGGCCAGCTTTTTTGGGCCCTTCTCTCCTCCAGGGCTTCATCCCATGGTACCCTACCAAGCAGATCCCCGAAGAGGTCCAAGTTGCCTCTCCTGAAATCCAGGGTCGTTAGCTTTCTTTGCACCTTTGTTGTTGCCGTAAGGATCCTGAATTCCACCGTTTTGTAGTCTCTGCAGCCAAGGCTGTCCCTAAGCTTCATGTTATCCATCAGCCCATCCTTATTGGTGAGAACACCTTTACTCAGTGGTTCACTCACTTGGAGAACGAGATTGTTGTCAGTGCATTCCAGTAGCCTCCTAGGTTGCTGGTGCCTTGCTGTGCTGTCCGTCAAACTACTTTCGGGCTGCAGTTTGAGAGAGTTAATAGCATGCTTAGCTTTTAATGTGTACTGTTGTTGAGTTAGTTTGTTGAGATTTTCTATTTGTGTTTATGCATCTGTTCAGAGTTATTTTTTTCACATAGAAACTCTACAGTTACTGATTGAGAACCAAAAAGAGCAAACAACGTTTTGGGACATTCTAGTATAGCATGCTGTTTCTAAGTTAGTCCAGAAAAGTCTTCCTGTTTACTTGTTTGAATATTTATCTATTTTTTTTACAAGAGAACAGAGAATTCAATTGACTCCCAGTTATTTTATTTCCTACTTTCAGTGGTTTTTGTGTACTGTTTTTGTTTTATTCCAATCCAGTTGGAACAAATTATTTAAAAGTTAGCTTTACTAGCTTATTCTAAGAAATGTCTGGACACTTTATTGCATTTAATTGAAGTTTTCTGACATGTAACACTGTTTTTGTTTTGATTTCAGAATGCTCTCTTTAGTTGTATTAACAGAAATGAAAGTAAGTATTTAATGAATAGTTTGTATCTTCTTGTTTTTCTTTTATATCACTATCATATTTTTCTCTAAAATGTAAGAAATCCTGTGGGTTTACATACACATAAATCACATGGATTCAGTTCCATAAAGAGAAAAACAACATGCATAGATTTGCTTCCTCAAGTGATAAGGAGACTGGGCTGCTCATTTATTTTATATGTTATTAATTTCCATATCTATATTTGTTTTTTCTGTCCTATTTGATGATTGCTTAGAAGCTCATTTGTTCCTTCTGATGAGTGTTAAGTAACAAAATTAAATTATGAAATCTTGCACCATGCAAGTGTTTTTTTGCCTGATGTTTGTCTATATAAAATGAAAATAAATCGGTGTCTCAGAATTAATTCTAGTAAAAATACTTCTCAATAATTTTCTGTTTCATAACATCAAAATGGGTCAATCACGATAACATCTGTGGGTTTTTTAATGAGTTTTAGGATACTAGTCTTGTATTTATTTACTATCAATCTTTGCCTAATAATTCATTTATAGGACCAGTCTGTTTCCCTTAAATAAGAACAAAATACCTGAAGATAAAATGCATATGACGTGCTGATTGAACTTGAGTTCAGGAGGGCTTTAGGGACATTTCTCTCTAGCCAAACAAACAAATGTTAGTTACAGATATTTCTAATCTTCCTGTAGACAGATTATTTTAATAGAGCATAGAGGAATAGAATTTTTTTATTATTTTTTTTTTTTCAAAATAATAACTTGAGCTGTGTGAGATTCAGTCATACACATTTGTTCATTTCTCTGTGCACAAATACATAGGTTTTCTGTTGTTTGTTTGTTTCTTTCCCCAGTGGGGTCAGTCTGTTGCAGCTATGCAGGTCATCATACAAATTGTCGGGAATATTGTCAAGCAATTTTTCGCACAGACTCTTCTCCTGGTCCATCACAAATTAAAGCAGTTGAAAATTACTGTGCATCAATTAGCCCTCAGCTCATACACTGTGTGAACAACTATACCCAGTCATATCCAATGAGAAATCCTACAGATAGTAAGTATAAAAAATGCTTCTTTAGTGAAAATTATAAAAAATACAGGAAATTATTGAGAATTGTATGCACTTTATATAAAAAATGTTATTGCATAAGCCTATTGTATATGTTGTATTACTGTATTTCTGTATTATAATTGTAATTATATTAATTTATATAATGATAACTTCTGTTTGTATGTGATTGATTACATTTTAAATTCTGCACATTGGTGATATTTATTTTCCAGAGTTGATTGAATTTGCATTTTAAAGAAGCATTCTTATTTGAGTTTATTTGGAAGGGGAAAAAACCCTCCTTATAGTACTTCTTCTCTGAGGGTTTCTATGTCGTGCATCTTGCTTGTTGTTGTATGCTTGATCATTTACTCTTTCTAATTTTTAATAGGTTTGTATTGCTGTGATAGAGCAGAAGACTATGCTTGTCAGACTGCTTGTAAAAGAATTCTAATGTCAATGAAAACAGAGCTTGAAATTGTTGATGGACTTATAGAAGGCTGTAAAACAATGCCTCTACCTCAGGATCCACTTTGGCAATGTTTTCTTGAAAGTTCAAGGTCTGTGCACCCAGGCATCACTGTGCACCCTCCACCCTCCACAGGCCTTGATGGAGCTAAGCTTCATTGCTGTTCTAAAGCAAATTCTTCCACGTGTAGGTCAGTATCTCTCTAACCTTATTTCCAATTAATGGTTCACAATTTGTCTTGTATCAGGCATTTGCCCAAATCTTGCTCTGTGAATTCTTAAAAAAAAAAAATACAAGTTAAGGTAATCAGATGAGTGTCACGTTCTATCCAACACCTGCTTTGTATCTCAAAAAGTACTGCTTTATAAATCACTCTTTTCCCACATTTAGCACTAGCTTATTATAGCAGACACATTAAGTTAATGAAACTTACACCTTTTTTGTGGTCATTATGGCCAATATTGCAAAAAGGTGAAGAGACCCTAACCTGGTGCTAATGAGAGTTAGGGAACAAGGAACTGCACAAACTCTCAAGTACCTGGTTGCAGCTTATTAAAATCTTAGCAGTATTCCTTGCTAGATGCTATGCAGATTTTTGTCAATAAAAATAAGTTATTTAATAATTAAATAACCCAACTAACTATTCTGACATCTTTTTTAAGGTTTTCAGCAAGTAGTTGCACACTTGAAAATAACGGTAATTGGAGCATTTAGAGTTTAGAGTGGTTATCTGTCCACTTTAAAAATAGATCATTATTCCATTTTAAATGCATCAGGATGTCAAAATAAGTTGCAAATATTAATTTTTGAGCTATTGCTTCCTTTTATATCAAAGTTTCCAGTAAAAAACCAACAGATCCTGGAGTAGAATCTTACAGTGAGTTTAGTAGTAGAGCCCTAGAGTTATGCTATTTCTTAGAACATTGTAACATAGGGCACTTGATCTTTATCTTTTAGTTTTTTGCTTTGACTGTGAAGTCTAAAAGTAGATCCTTCCATCCTTCCATCATGTTTCCAATATACCATAGACTTGAGTAGTGCAGTGAAGTTCCATGCCTTCAGTTGGGATGGGAACAGTTGTAGTGTGTAGGATATTGCTATGAAAAAAGTGGCTTGGGTATTGCTGACAGCAGGAAACATCTCAAATACAAGCAATAAACAGGACACCTGTTTAAAACATCAGGACAAAAGAAGAAATATGTTTTGCTTGTCAGTCATTGCTATAGTAGGACAACATGTGATTTGAAGTTGTTCATTAACATGTCAACCTACGTTTATTACAGGTAAAGTTAGCTGGGATAGTCCTCAGCACAGTCATTAGTTCAGCTTTCCAGATACTACATTTTTATTGGGTATTGCAGTTTTATATTCTGAAGTCTCTCAGTCTTTTTGACTTAAAGGTTTTCTAACAGTCTTAAGCAAAACTGGAAAACTTAGGAAACAGTGAAGTGAGGTTATTTGCTTTAAGCACAACATTTGGATACTCTTGCAAACTGTGGGCATTAACTGAGTCTTCAACTGTGGGCATAGGCTGTTCTAATCTGACGTGAATAGACTGCTATATCTGAATGTGTGCTGTTCTTTTATTTTCTTCATGTATATTTCATTTTCAGAGAGCTCTGCACTAAACTTTATAGCACGAGCTGGGGCAATTCACAGAGCTGGCAAGAATTTGATCGCTTTTGTGAGTATAATGCAGTTGAAGTTTCCATGTTGACCTGTTTAGCAGATGTACGAGAACCTTGTCAGCTGGGCTGTAGAAATCTTACTTACTGCACTAATTTTAATAACAGGTAGGAGAGAAACACTGAATATTTCATAAAAGAATTCCTGTGCTTTGATTTAAAAATTAAATAAAATGGTTTTCAGGCTTATTGTGAGATTGTATCTAGCTGTTTTTCTGCAAATTTTCTTTTAGATACTTTTAAAATAAATAAGTTTTGGTTAGAATAAACTTTTGGAAATGTATTTAACAGCAGACATAACAAAACTTTTAAGAATAAAAGCTAACTTATGAACTTGCAAAATGTCATAATGTATTAGCAGCATATTCATCTGTCTTACTTTAAACCACTAAGACATGATTACTGGAATGTTGTGTATTATAAATAAGGTAAAAATGCTTCTTAAATGTATATGTTACTCTTTTTCTGTGGTTTTATACTGCCTAGGGCAAAATGCATGTTTTAAAAGTGATGTCTGAATTACTAATTGCAAGGTTACATCTTAAATAGTTTGAGTTTCAAAAAAACATTTAAAATTTTGTTATCTACTAGTGATCTCTGGCCTTTCTTTGAAATACTGTACAGTGGCATTAGTATTATAAGAGTAGTAGAATCATATATGATAGATGCAGCCTGGGCAAATATAAATGATAAATCAACTTCCATTACTGATTCACCTGGAAACATTCACACAGATATTCAGTATATATAAGTTACTAGCATTTAAGTCAACTTTCTTCAGGTAAGAAAAATTTATGTGATATTTGATTTAAGAGGTAGAGAGATGAAAAGGTAGTTTCAATGTGGAGGCTTATAAAAGCTAATTTTCATTATAGAATCATAGAATGTCTTGTGTTGGACCTGTAAAGGTCATCTAGTCCAACCCCATACAATAAGCAAGGACATCTCCAACTGATTGCTCAGAACCCCATCAAGCCTGACCTTGAATGTCTCCAGGAATAGGAACCCCACCACCTCTCTAGGCAACCTGTTACAGTGATCCACCACCCTCATATTAAAGAAGTTTTTTCCTAATATCCAACCTAAATCTACCCTTTTCTATCTTAAAATCATTACCTCTTTTCCTGTTGTTAGATGCCCTAGTGAACAGGTCTTTCCCAGCCTTCTTATAGGCTTCTCTCAGGTATTGGAAGGTTGCTGTAAGTCCCCCTGAGAGTCTCCTCTTCTTCAGGCTGACCAACCCCAACTCCCAACTCTCTGTTCTGGTCTGCTTTGGTGAGATTTTTTTATAGTGGGGGAAAGGCCTCAGGAGTGGCCAATAAGAAGCTGAGAAGCTCCCCCCTGTTTCCAAAACCAGCCAAGGAGACATTAGAGGGACAATAGATGCACCTCTACGATTAACATGCAGAAGAACTGATATGAGACCTGAGCAGAGCGAGCAATTAAGAGAAAAAGAAGAGCTGAGCTGGAGAGGTGAAAGGCAGTGCTTGGTTGAATATCCTGGTGGTTGATGAAGAATGAAGGAGAAGAAGGTGCCCAAGCAGAAGTTTCCCTGCAGCCCATGGCGAGATGGCAGCTGTGCCCCTGCACTCGGGGAGGAACGTGGTGGAACATTCCCTGAAGGTGCCAGGAGGGTGAACTTGGCCAGTGGACTTGGATTTTGTGGCCAGTGGACTCTGATTGTGCAGCTGTGGAAGACCCTGGTGCCAGGGGAGGTGGCTGTTCCCAAAGCAGCCCATGACTGTGAAGAACCCTCCTTGTCCTTTGTCTCGACCCACGAGCTTCTAGCTGGGCTTTGTCCTCCTTGTCCCACAGTGTTGGGGGAGAGGGGAGAGCTGAGTGAGCAGCCATGTGGCTGTTTTGTTATTGTTGTGTTAGGCCCTAACCACGACACTCCCTCAGCCTGACTTCATAAGAGAGGCGCTCAAGCCCTCTCATAATTTTTGTTGCCCTCTTCTGGACACACTCCAACAGGTCCACATCCTTCTTGTGTTGGGGGCTCCAGAGCTGGACAGAGTACTTCAGGTGAGGTCTCACCTGGGCAGAGGGGCAGAATCGCCTCTCTTGATCTGCTGCTCACCCTTATTTTGATGCAGCCCAGGATGTGGTTGACCTTCTGGGCTGCAGTTGCACATTGCTCATGTCCAGCTTTCCATCCACTAGTACCCCCAGGTCTTTTTCTATAGGGCTGTTCTCTAGCATGTCTTCCCCCAGCCTGCATTGATATCTCTGGTTGCCCTGGTCCAGGTGCAGGACCCTGAACTTGGCCTTGTTGAACCTCATGAGGTCATGAGTGGGTCCCCTGGGCCCACTGCTCTAGCTTGTCCAGGTCCCTCTGGATGGCTTCTTGTCACTCTGGCCTATTGACCTCACCACCCAGCTTGGTGTCATCAGCAAACTTGCTGAGAGTGCTCTCAGTGCCACTATCAATATCATTAATTAAGATATTAAAAAACACTTGTCCCAGTGCAGACCCCTGAGGGTCACCACTCCTCACAGTTTTCCATCTGGCCGTTGAGGTATATACCACTACCCTCTGTATGCGACCATCCGGCCAATTCCTTATCCACTGAACAGTCCACCCATCAGATCCATATCTCTTAAACTTAGAAGGGTGTTGTGGGGGACTGTGTCAGAGGCCTTGCAGAAGTCCAGATGAATAACGTCCATAGGTCTTCTCTTGTCCCCTGATGTAGTCACTCGATTGTAGAAAGCCACTAGATTGAATGACCGCCCTTCCCTCTATGTTCAGATATCATGGAGAATGGCTTGGCAGCTACCTCAGCCAGTTCCTTCAGGACTCTGGGATGCATCTCATCATATGGACAGAATTCAAATTTATTTTGATCATGCTTTACTGTGAAAGTGGTTAATTTCTATTATACAACAAAAAACAAGTAATAAAAAGTTTGTAGAATTTATATGGTTGAAAGGTAAAATGTGTGCTGTTTTCTTTTTCTTGTATACATGCCATATCTTAACTTCTTCTTTTAAGACCAACAGAACTTTTTAGGAGCTGCAATACTCAGTCAGACCAGGGAGCCATGAATGACATGAAGCTATGGGAAAAAGGGAGTATTAAGATGCCATTTATAAATATTCCTGTGCTTGATATTAAAAAATGCCAACCAGAAATGTGGAAGGCAATTGCCTGCTCACTGCAGATTAAACCTTGCCACAGCAAATCTAGAGGAAGTATTATCTGCAAGTAAGTACTATGGAGGAATAAAATGGTGTAGAGGTTTTGCTAAGGATTTTAATGAGAAATATAAATCTGCTGTAGAACTGTGTTTTACTTATGTTAGGAAAACATGGCGAGGCAAGCACAGAAGTTATACGAGCTTTTGTAGTTGCCACTGTTTGAATCTCCATTGCTGTAAATGAAGGATGCTTGCTGGTTAATGAGGTGCATGGATATGTTTACATTGTAAAGTTGATTTATTGTTGAGGGGTTTTTTGGGTCTTTCTGGTGTCTATAAAACCTTTCCTGTTTTTCAGTTTTCAGACCTACTGGTGATTTTCAGCTGACAAAATGGTCTGAAAAAGAATGAAATTTATTTAAAAAAAATAGATTCTGAAAGTAGGTTACTGGGTGCGAAAGAGAACAGTTAATAGTACAGATAGTGAGACAGAGTTCAACCCGTGCTAGACATTAGTAAATCAAGGAAATGCTTGGTCTTGAAAAACAGTTGCATATGATGTCTTAGAAAACAAAGATCACCAAGTCCAAAATGGAGGAAGAGTAGCATAACCAATAGTTCCTGTCTTTGTGTCATAATTTTGTTCCTCCCCCTTTATGTAAAATGCAGCACATACATATATGTATGTGTAAACACTGTTGTGAGGCAGAAGGGGAAAGTTGTTGATTCAGGGAATGGAAGAATGTATGAAGAAATCTTTTTCATACAAGGCTTTTTTTCCTCAAGTAGTGTTAATGAAGTTCTGTTTCTTTATCTGAAGATCAGATTGTGTGGAAATTCTGAAGAAATGCGGAGATCATAATAAATTCCCCGAAGGCCACTCAGCTGAAAGTATTTGTGAGCTCTTATCTCCAACAGATGACTTGGAGAACTGTATCCCTTTGGATACATACCTGAGTAAGTATCAGCACACCTCTGTGGAAAAATTAGAAACCAAGATACTTTAAATGCTTATCATTATTTTTAGCAATTTTTGTTATTTTTTTTAAAATCTTACTGAATTTGAGACATTTTATTTAGCGTTTTAGAGAAGAGTGGATTTTTCAAATAGCTGTGGCAAATTCAGTTTATTCCTTCTTCTATTGGGTGGCAAGGTTGTTTTGGTCGTGGTGGAGGCTGTGGTGGCTGTATGGGCAGATGTCAGAGACTGCACTGTGCCAGGCACACCCAGCTCAGCAATGGGCCTGCTGTAGGCCAAAGCTGAGCTGCTTAGCAAAGTTTGTGGTACCTCTGTGAAAACACGTTTAAGAAAGGGCAAAAGTGCCAGACGAGTGGAGGAGGACAGGAAGAGTGAGAAAAAGTAGAGGTAGCACCCAGGTTAGAGGAGCAGGAGGAGAGGAGGTGCTGCATGGCAGAGCAGATATCCACAGGGCAGCCTGGGGAGGACCCCATGCCACAACAGGTGGGTATACCTGAAGGAAGCTGCAGCCTGTGGAGAGCCCATGCTGGAGCAGCAGTGTGTGAAGGAATGAGCAGCAGAAAGGAGCTGCTGTGTACTGACCATAGTCACTACCATCCCCTGCTTTCCTAGTCCCCGCTGCATCACTTGAGGCAGGGGCAGAGAAATCTGAAGTGAAGAAGTGAACGTGAGTCTGGGAGAGGGAGGAAGAAAGAAGCTTCTTTAGTGTTGTCTTTTTGTTCCCATTACCAGAATATGTAATTAAATACTTCTTTTAACTGGCAATAGATTTGATTAATTTTCCACAAGTCAAGTCAGTTTTGCCCGCGGTGTTAAGTGGGCAATCTCCTTGTCCTCATCTCAGCTCATGGGCTTCTCTAGAATTATAGAATCACAGAATGGTTAAGGTTGGAAGGGACCTTGGAGATCATCATGTTCCAACCTCCCTGCTGTGAGCTGGGACACCACACACTAGACCAGGTTGCCCAAAGCCTCTTCCAACCTTAAACACCTCCAGGGAGGGGGCTTCAACAACCTCTCTAGGCAACCTATTCCAGCACGTTACTACCCTCGTGGTGAAGAATTTCTTCCTGATGTCTAACCTGAATCTCCTCTCTTTCTGTTTATAACTGTTACCCCTTGTCCTATCACTACCCTCTTTGGTGCAAGTCTCTCCCCAGCTTTCCTGTAGACTCCCTTGAGGTACTGGAAGGCCACTATGAGGTCTCCCCAGAGCCTTCTCTTCTCCAGGCTGAACAGTCCCAGCTCTCTCAGCCTGTCTTCATAGCAGAGGTGCTCCATCTTCATGGGTCTTCTCTGCACTCTCTCCAACACCTCCATGTCCTTCCTCAGTGTGGTGAGGGCTTCCCTGGACAATCTGTTCCAGTGTCTCACTACCCTCATAGTGAAGACTTTTCTCGTAATGTCTACTCTAAATCTCTCCTCTTCCAGTTTTAAGCCATTACCCCTTGTCCCTTCTGTCACAGTTTGGGCCCAGCATGACAACAAAGAACCAGCCCCATGGCCACTCACTCAACTGCCCCCCCACACACACACTCTGGGATGGGGAGGACAAAGGACAACCAGATGCTCATGGGTCAAGACAAGAAAAAGGAGGGCTCTTCACCAATTAAGGTCCCGGGCAAAACAGACTCAACTTGGGAAAAAAATAATAATTTAATTTCACACTAATCACACACAGAGAGGACACAGACACACACAGAGCAGGGCTTGCATATGTTACCCCACCCCTCCCTTCTTCCTGGGTTCAACATCACTTTGTGGTGGTTCCTGCTGCTTCATCCTCCTCAGAAAGAAGGATTTCTTACAGTCCTTCCCTGCTTCCCCATGGGAGAGTCCTCCACGAACCCCTCCTTCATGAGTCCCATGCTCCAGCGTGGGCTTCCCACAGAGTCAAAGGCTGCTCTGGGAACAGTCACCTCCCATGGTGCTGGGGTCTTCCACAGCTGCATAGTCCAAGTCCACTGGCAGCAAATCTGAATCCACTGGCCAAGTTCACCCCTCCTGGCGCCTTCAGGGAATGTTCTACCACGTTCCTCCAGGAGTGCAGGGGCACAGCTGCCATCTCACCATGGGTTGCAGGGAAACTTCTGCTTCAGCACCTTCTTGCCCACCAACCACCAGCACTGCTCTTCCACAGCTCAGCTCTTTCTGTTCTAACTCTTTGCTCTGTTCTGGTCCTATATAAGTTCTTTGGTATCTTAATTGCAGAGGTGCATCTATTGTCTCTTACCAGAGCCACCCTTGGCGGGGCTTCCCCACAACCAAAAATTCCCACCAAAGCAAACCAGCACACTCTCACTACAAATAAATATCACTTAAACATTTAAACCATGATTCAGAGCAAAACTCTTTGATGTACAAAATTACAGTTTTGCCTGATGCAAAAACTCTGTTCTTTAACTGTGTAATTAGAATAACCAGAACTGAAATTAACTGTTTGGACAACAGAATATGAGTTTAGTGGGTATATGAAAGAATTAAGTTTTTGATACTCTGTTTTATTCTAGCATATCTCATCCATCAGTGTGGAACATGGTTGTATTTGTAAAATTCCATCTGGATTCCATAATGCATCTTTTTATATTATCTTCCAATTCTGCTCCACCCTATTACTACTTCCTATTGCATATTTTGTCTCTGTAGGAGTTAGACCATTTTAGCTGTATAGGAGTTACCTGTTTTAGACCTTCTTCCAAATTAAATTTTGACTCTTCTTTCTCAGAATCCCAGGATCTTTGAAAATAGTAAAACGTTGGTTAGTTCAGTGCTGCAACTGAAAGCATTCCTCAACAAATAAATTGTTCCCATTTTTGGGTGGTGGAAACTTTGGAAGTTTGTTTCCATTTAGCTGCTGCTTTTCCATTTTGTCTTCCCCTAATGTTGTTAGAGGAGAACATTACTAGTGAGTTAAAGGTAAAACAGCAAGAAAAGTTTTATCAATGATAGCAAACTTGGTTAAACATCTAGTTTACTTTAAATCTCCAATTTGTTAATCATTGACTATGGAACTTCTGTTGATTAAACTGCCGGTCATTGCCAGTTTGTATTTTTGTCATGTAAAATAAATTATTGGGGAAACAAGATAGAGGAAATTTATTTTGTTCGTGGAAAATCACCTGAGTGATTTCCAGGACTTACAACTGAAGTTTTGAAATAAGTTAATTAACTTGTTCCATCAAATTTCTACAAGTATAGTTAAAAAAATATTTGAAACATCACAGAATTCTCAAATATAATTTCACTGAATGTAAGAAATGCCATGCCTTATTGAAGAAAAATAAACCTAATTTAAATCAATATAGAGGCTGTATGTTCTGTTTTCAGGACCAAGTTCTTTAGGTAACATTGTGGAAGATGTTACGCACCCATGTAATCCAAATCCTTGTACAGCTAATCAGTTATGTGAAGTAAATAGAAAAGGATGTCAATCTGGAGAACTGTGTCTTCCATATTTGTGTGTGCCAGGTAAGGGGTTTTGGATTTCTGTTTACCTGAATTTTGCTGTTAAATATATGTTAATTAAATTTTCTTGACAGTTTAAAAGTGTATTGCTGACATCCCAAAGGAACTATTATCACAATTACCTTGTTTTTTCAAAAGCTGTAGCTACTTTCTAGCTGTTTTAATTTCATTTGCATTCATGGTCATTTGGGAGCTACATTTTTTAGAACACTGGTGTTGTCTGACTTCTGCACCATGCATAAATGTGAGCTGATTGGGTAGAGCGCCTCATGTAGAATGAGTTTCAGCTGTGTCATTTTGAGTTTCAGCTGTGTCATTTTGAAATGACAGGGTTGGTGTTGGTAACAAGGGTCAAATCTACAAAAGCAGGTGGGAGACTGTACCATCTCCAGCAGTGCTTCCCATACCTTTAAAGCAGAAGATATAATGAAGTGGCATGAGGGATCACCTCTGGCTTTTGAAGCACAGGAAAGCTTGCATTTGGTGACCACTGTTTCTTTTATTATTTTTTTTTCTGTGTAATTTTTTATTTTTTCCCTTTTCTTCTTTTTCTCCCTTTGTCTTCTCTTCATCTCAACCTAAAAGAGTCCTTCAGTGTTCATATAAGAGGTAAAAGCAAGGAAGGAAGACACAATCAAATACAAGAGAGAGGAGAAATTACTGGGCTTTGCTGTGAGACCTTTTAATTCAGCTTCAGTATTGGAGAGAGTGAAGTGTATGTGGTGGTTGTCGTATCACATACTGTGAGAACTGTGGAAAATAAAATTACCTGAGAATTGTTAGAATTATCAGTCTTTTTCTCTAAAGTGATTTTCTTACAGGTACTTCAAAACAATGTCTCAAGCAGCTATCTTCTCTTTCTGCTACTTGTTGACACTGTGAAAGGAGTGAATTTATCTAAAGGACAAGCAAGGTTGCTTTAGGAACACCTTAGCTTTTTAACAGACCAAAGAATAGTACATTTTTTTTCAGAGTGGTACTTTCTAGAGTATTTAATAAATATTTAAACTGAAATTTCTCCTTGGATATAGGTTGCAAACTGGGAGAAGCCTCAGATTTTATTGTCCGTCAAGGCACACTTATTCAGGTTCCATCCTCAGCTGGTGATGTTGGTTGTTACAAGATTTGTACCTGTGGGCACAGTGGATTGCTAGAAAACTGCATGGAAGTGCATTGTGTTGACCTCCAAAAATCATGCGTTGTTGGAGGACAAAGAAAAAGTAAGTATTAGAACAGTGATTATATCTTTATACAGCACCTGCTCCTTATGTAATGAATTTTGAGGCATATATGAAAAAACAGAAGATCTGAATACAGAGTTCACCAGAAAACAGAATAATTATTGCTGGCATCCCTTTATATAATAATTGTTTAATTTTTACATATGCTGCAGGGTTCCATTCTTTAAACCAATACTGAACTGTATCTGTCTCAGACAGCTAAAGTCCTGTGTGAAGCATGTTCTTAGCGAGTAGACAGCAGGGATAAAACAACAACAGCAAAACAACTGGATCTGCTTCAAGCATGCTGTAGTTCTGAGGTTTAAGCACAGTATAACTGACTATAAATAGCTGCCCATTTCCTGGATTACAAATTTGCAAGTACTCTGCTTTTAACAGTGTTGGATATCCAGTGACCAACAGAGGTGTCTGGGGAAGAGTATGAGAAAAGGCAGAAGATTTAATAATACTTTCCATGCATATTGTCCCAGAATCTGCCCTGTGTTTCAGACCACAGAGCCCTTGAGCTTGCAACCTCTTGGTTTCTTTACTAGATAGATCCAAATGGTTTTGGGGTTTTTTTGTTTTGTTTTAGAGTTTGTTTGTCGGGCCTTTTTCTTGAATGGATTTTAAAGATTTATTTTTTTTTTTAAGTCAGAAGCTTTTGTCATAAGCTATAACCTCTGGCAAGAAGTTAGACATGTTCAGATATGTGTGCTTAAGCCCCACACCCTCTTTTTTTTGGTGCAGTTTGCAAAGGGATTTATTTTAGTGTGAGCCTTCATAATTTGTTTCATCTGGTTCCTCTTAGTTAATGAGATTCATCCTAGTTCTTGTACTGAAAAAGGTGATGGATGATTGTTACTTAATTTGTCTCCTCTTTCAGAACTCTGTTGTGTTCCCTTCAAGTTTCTGGATTTTTCTCCAAGCCAGTTCCTATTTTATTTAATAATTCCTTGTAGGGAATAGTATAAGTCTGATCATTCTTATTACCCTATTGTGTACCTTTTTCTTTTATATTGAAACGGAAACAGAAACTTCATGCACTATTTGCAATGCAAGTGCCCAATCAGCTGTATGTAATAGCAAAATTCAATTCTTCTAATAATTATTCTGAACTTTATTTTTATGTTTTGTTGTTTTTTTGCTAACTCTTATTCAGGTCATGCTTTCACAGAACTGTCTATCATAACACCATGGTCCATTTCATAAGAGGAAATGGTCAGCTCACAGATCATTTGTGTAAATTGTAGAGAATCAATTTATGTTCAGTACAATTAATTTCCTCTGCTATATCCTTTCCTAGTTGCTCAGTGTGGTGAGATTTTTCTTGCACTTCTTCATTATTTGGTCTTTTGTACCTTAATGTTATTGATAGTCTTTGTCAGGTTGCATTTGTTTTTTTGGATCACATATAAGTATGTTGAACAGAACAGCCACTGCTGGAGACTCATCCCATCCAGTGACCTCCCTTTATTTTCTTTTTATTTATCCACGTAAGAGCCTTTTTTTCACATCTCTATTTTTTTCTTGAAAACTCGTATTAAAGAGCTATTAAATGTCTGTTGGATATCAGCCTGATTTTGTGTTGTTCACATGCTTATCCTTCAGGTAATAATAAAAGATTTATTTTGAGACTTGCACAAAAACTTTATTGATTCCTTTCGCCAGTATATCATATTTAGGTATGTGTCCATGGATGCAAACATTTACCAGATTTGTGTTCTGCAAAATTCAGTTTACCTGTCTTTATTATCCACAGAACCATTTTAATTTTTTTTAAAGTAGATATTTTACCCACCTCAATGGTACCAAAACCTGGAGGACTTCAAAGTAAGAGGTTATAAATACAGTCATACAGTGGTTCTGTTGCAAAATCAAAGATCACCTAGATCCATGGGCAGGGACACCTCCCACTAGACTAGGTTGCTCAAAGCCCCGACCAGGCTGCACTCGAGAAGTTCCAGGAAGGAGGCACCCACAATCTGTTCCAGTGCCTCACCACTCTCACACTAAAGGATTTCCTTTCTATGTCTAACCTAAATCTCACCTGCTCCAGTTTTAATTTATTGCCCCTTGTCCTGTTGCTATAAGCCCTTCTAAAAAGTCCCTCCCCAGCTTTCCTGTAACATCTTCAGGTGCTGGAAGGCCACTGTAAAGTCTCCCCAGAGCCTTCTCTTCTTCAGGCTAGACAACCCCAACTCTCTCAGCCTGTCTTCATAGCAGAGGTGCTTCAGCCCTCTGATCATCTTCGTGGTCCTCCTCTGGACTTTCTTCAGGAGTTCCATATCATTCTCATGCTGGGGGCTCCAGAACTGGACACAGTACTCCAGGTGGGGACTCAGAAGAGTAGAGTGGAGTGGAGTAGGACAATCGCCTCCCTTGTCCTGCTGGCCACGCTTCTTTTGATGGAGCCCAGGACAGTTGGCTCTCTGGGCTGCAAGGACACATTGCTGGCTCATGTTGAGCTTCTTATCAACCAACACCCCATGTCCTTTCTCTTAGGGCTGCTCCCAATCCCTTCTCTGCTCAGCCTGTTTGTGCTTGAGACTGCCCTGACACCCAGGTGCAGGGCCTTGCACTTGGCCTTATTGAACTGCGTGTGGTTTGCATGGTCCCACCTCTCAAGCCTGTCAAGCTCCCTCTGGATGGCCTCCCTTCCCTCCAGTGTGTCAAACACACTACACAGCTTGGGCTCATCATCAAACTTCCCGAGAGTGCACTCAGTCCCACTGTCCGTGTCAATGACAAAGGTGTTAAACAGCTCCAGCACCAGCCCCTGAAGAACGCCACTCATCGCTGGTCTCCGTTTGGACATCAAGCCATTGACTACAAATCTTTGAACGTGGCCATCCAGCCAATTCCTTATCCAGAGTGGTCCATCCATTGAATCCATATCTGTACAATTTGGAGACCAAGATGTCATGCTGCACAGTGTCTAATGCTTTGCATAAGTCCGGGTAGATGATGTCAGTTGCTCTCCCCTTATCCACCAACACTAATCTCATCACAGAAGGCCACTGAATTGGTCAGGCATGATTCACCCTTAGTGAAGCCATGCTGGCTGTCACCAATCATCTCCACATTTTCTGTGTACCTTAGCAGAGCCTTCAGGAGAATCTGCTCCATGATCTTGCCTGACACAGAGGTGAGGCTGATTGGCCTGTAGTTCTCCAGCTCCTTTTCCCCTCTTTGAAAATGGGGGTTATGTTTTCCCTTTTCCAGTCGGTGGGAACTTCACCACACTGCCACAGCTTCTCAAATATGAATAGCAGCTTTGCAGCTTCATCTGCCTGCTCTCTCAGGAGCACCAGCACATCAAAAACATGTGAACAGAAAATAAGCTGAATAAGAGAAATGATAGGAACAATGAATAATGAAAATGTAGTATCTCTGTAATATATATGAGTATATAGTATTCTTGTACATTTACATTAACTGTATGCATTTACTTATTTTCTATTATTTTCAGGCCATGGAACATCCTTTAATATAGATTGTAATGTCTGTTCATGTTTTGCTGGAAACTTGGTATGTTCTACACGTCAGTGTCTAACTGAGCATAGTTCAGAAGATGAACGTCAGAAGTTTACAGGTAACTTTGCAAACTATGGAAACTATAAGCTTAATGCTCTTAGATTGAGGATTAGTTTTCAAATTCTTTTGCAATCTCAATGGAAAATACCTGATATTTTGTTATTCATATGTTAGTTTAGCTATTTATTTTTCTGAAGCCCAGCCTGTGCTTTAGATTAACACATAGCTTTAAAAAATAATCAGTACTGAAAGATAAATCCTCAGGTAATATGTAACAATAGGTAGAGACAGTGTAATGTCACTGGGGACAGGAGATAAGGAGTTGAGGGAGAAATGGAGAAAGCTGAGTAGAATCAGCAAGGAGGTAGGACACAAAGTTCCCTTCCTCCTGCATTGCTAAATTACAGGAGGGAGGAAGTGGCCGAAGGTACGGCACATCTTTGCATGAGCTGGATTTTAGTGATCCCTTGTACATATTCTGTCAGAGAAAATAAGTGTGCACCAGATTTCTGTTGCTTTTGCAGGTTTACCATGTAACTGCGTTGATCAGTTTGTACCAGTATGTGGTCAAAATGGACGCACATATCCAAGTGCATGTATAGCTCGCTGTGTTGGGCTGCAGGACAACCAGTTTGAATTTGGATCATGCATTTCCAAGGATCCTTGTAACCCTAACCCTTGTAGTAAAAATCAAAGGTAAAAGCAATATATGTTTTTAAGCTTTTATTCAGCATCAGATTTATTTTTTCTCTGAATGTTTTGTATATTGTAGTAATATTCTACTTTTGGGATACTCCAATAAAAATAACTGTATGAAATAGCTGCTTTTTATTATCATAGTAATAGACTGTCATAAATGCCAAATCTTGGTTCCATTTATGTAGTGCTAAGTAGTTTAAATTAATTTGGCAGATCTTAGTTTTAGCAATAAGAAATAATTGGTGTATACTTTCATAAGTGGGAGAATCAAATCTGTTGAAATTGTTATGAGTAATTATACTACTTTGTTTCACATATTCTTATAGTAGTTTAAAAAAAAACCCCACACCTGAATTCAAGTCAGTCAGACTCCTCAATTGGAGTCAGTCTTTCTTATTCACTGCTTTTTATCTCTAAAATAGGAAAATATCAGTCACTCTGGAACACTTGAGTTTCTTTTAATTAGACTGATATCTTGTGGAAACTGTATGATATTGATTTTTTTCAATGTTAGGAAAAGCAAAATCTGTATAGACAAACATACTAAACCAAGAACATGCTCTGTACTAGTGTTGGGAGAAATGAAAATGTGACCTTTCTTACAGAAATTAAAGGCTGTGCCTCATAATGTTGGTCTCTGTCTTCAATTTTCTCAGTGTTGTGCAGTACTGCAGTCTCCTTTGAATTTGTACATTTGTCCATTTGGAAAGAAAGCCACCATAAGAAGTTGTGTAATACTGTACTTTCATGAAAACTGATTATAGCAATTTTATTTTTTCCCTTTTTCTGCACTTTAAATGCCTTGATGCAGAAAATTGCAGAGAAAACACTGTAGTTTTTTAGTTGTAATAGCTGTTACGGGGTTGAAAATTAGAATTTCGAAGCTGCATTGTGGATATACACTTTTTACCTTTTATATTTTTAATTTAGAAAGTGTAGAAAGGTTTTTCAGTTTTACAGAATAACCATTATGCTTAGAATGTAAGGTTGTAGTTTCAGTAAAGGACTGTACACAATACACTTTTCTGGGTCAGTTTGATAATGTAGCTAAACATGCTCATTTTGAAACCTCTCCAAAGTGCTTAGAATCCATTTAAGATCTTACATTTGATTTGTAAAATATTTAAATCCCAGAATTTCTGAGTCTTCCCTAATATAAAAGGAAAATAGGTAATGCATAGGACAGCAGCACCCAGAGAGAATATTGTACATATTCCAGTGTACTGTTGTCATTTATAGAAGGAGGAGAGTGTTAAAAAAGCCATTTGACCTTTCATCAGTCCATTAATTAAACTCTTTTGACTGGCAATTCTCTAACAGAGATGTCTTGCAGGGTGTATGGCAAAAGATTTGTGGCTAAGACTGCAGAAGGTACATATTTAATATAAAGGGTAAAGAATTTCTGCTGTTTATTGCTCTAGTATTAATACTAGATTTTTTCTGTTTGCAATTATCTCCAAGATAGAATGTGATGCAATATTCTGAACCTACAGAGCTATAATCCAATTAGATATTTGTAACTGAAACAATATGATCTTCTAAGTCTTGTTTTCACTACCTTTTCCAGGAAGGGTGAGGCTAGACCTTTGCAATATAATGTTTTTCTCTTGCAGTCACTGTTTTCATGTTTTCTCTAGTTTTTCTTTAGTATGCATTTACAAAATGAAGCTTGGGAGTAGGTTAGAAGTTTATCCAAGCCTTGGTCAAAAATCCATTGAAAAATACTTGGTAAAAGATTAATTTTAGTGAAGACCATAGTTGTGTTCACATACATTGACTAAACATGGTGTTAACCAGTTGCAGATCTGAGATTGGCTATTCAGAGTGTTTTGTCACTTGTTTTTCCTGCAGCTCTGCTAAGATTTCACTGACAATATTTTCCCTGAATATTGAGACTTTAAAAAAAAATCCTATTGAATTAAATTATTATTACTTTATGCAGGTGCATACCAAAGAAACAAGTTTGTTTGACTAGTTTTGGAAAGTTCCAATGTAGCCAGCATGAATGTGTGCCAAGGCATTTAAATTGTGACCAGACACGGGATCCTGTTTGTGACACAGACAATGTGGAATACAGTAACCTGTGTACTTTGTACCAAAAAGGGAAAAGTTTAGCATACCGAGGACCATGCCAGGTAGGAAGTGGTTCTAGCAATAAGTATAAAATCTTTGGGTTTTGATGTTCAACTTTGCAATGTTCTGGTTTTTTATAGCTTACAAAATATTTTCTTTTAAAGTAATCCTTTAAAAATGTAATTTTAACTAGTATGAAAAATCCTGTCACAAAATTATATTCAGAATGTTGACAAGTTCCTTTGGTGCTGTCTCAAAACCACTCAAAAGCTTTACTTAAGCTTTCTGGTGGATAGTACTCTGATATTTATATTAATTCTTCCAATATTTTTCACTATTAAAGGTTGCACCAAGGTAGGTTTGCAGTAATGTTTGCAGTTCCTTGGTTAGTTAAATGCTAGTCTTTACCAGTTTGAACTTGTTTTAAATGAAAATTAATGCCCAGTCATTGAAATTCTGTAGCATTTTGTGTGATTGTGCCCCAGGTTTACCAAAGTCATGGTTCAGTATCTGTTTACACCTAAGTTTTGATGGAGATTAGGCAGTCTGTAATATTTTCTTTAGTTAGTCTGGATTGGATTAGTCTTCATCCCTGAGAAGGACTAGGATTAGGTTTATTTCTGCCATCCCACCACTCCCTACATTGTTGGTAGACAAGCTATTTCTGTTACTTTACAAGAAAATTCAGGAGTTACTCTTTTCAAAGTTGCTGGCTTTACCATTGGTAGCCTGTCCATCTCAATTTTTTTCTGAAATAATGAAGATTAATTTGAGACCAATTGGTCTCACCTGTTGGATATTATTAGAAGTACAGAACATTTTTGCAGGGTTTTTCTGTATTATAAACGCTCTTGCTCTTTTTTAACCTGCTTTTATTTTCTGCCTTTCTTTATACCTTGTTTTTCTTACCCCTTTTCAGCAACCTTGTTAAGTACAGACAGTTCTTCTCATTGCTATCAGATACCTCATGAGATACTCAGAGAATGTTCAGCCCCAGTAAGAACAGTAAGAATCAAAGGAATTTTGCATGACTGCTTTTTCCCCAGCAGTTGTAGGTCTATTTGTATCCAAGTTCATTAAGCCTTTGACATTGGTAGCTTTAAGTTTTCACCCTTGCTTTTATATGACTGCAAGATACAGAACTATTCAGAATGCTCACATTTATTCATCCCTTACCTGTTACATTGTTAGCTCAGGTGTGTAACAGAAACTGGAATTGTCTTGCTGTTTTAGAGGATATACAGGACTTACTTGAAATATTAGTTAATTTAATAAAATACTTAGACCTTAGCAAGAAATTATGGAATGAGTTGTGTCATTTCACAAGACTTTGGACAAAAGTATTAGTCAGACCTTGCCTGCCAAAAGTCAGCAAATCCATTTGCTTCTATCCATGTTCAGAAGCTTGCTTTTATTGGCATTTGACTTCTTGAATGTGTTGGGCTAATCTATGTGTATATATGGATTAGGAAGAAACTATATTAGAATTCTTTGATTCTTAATTGTGTTTGAATCAAATTACATGCTACTTATTTTTCTGAGAGAAAATGGACACAATAAATGTATTTTTATAGATATAAAGGTCTCAACAATAAATATCTTTTTGACAGAGGTGTCTACTGATGGATTTTATCCTATTAAAGTAAATGTATACACTTAGTTTCTCAAATGATGTGCTAGAAATACATGCATGCACACACTAAATTTTAAGAGCACAAGAACATTGAGGCTAATGAATAAGTAAAGTATTATTAAGTAATTAAAGTATTAATAAATATTGTAATATCACTTCTTGATAAATTAGTTTTATTACTAAGACTGCTTTATTGTGTAATAAAATCATCATAATCTTTACTCTCAATAATTTAAATGACATGGTCATTTTATTTAAGCATTAGTACAGGACAAACATTGTTCCCTGAAACATCTCATTGTACATTTCTCAGATTCCAACTTAGATTTTCCTGTCACCTTCTTGAAGTACTTCTTGCATTTATTACCCATCCATAAATTGGCAGGTTATTTACTCTAGATTTCCTGCTTTTTTAAATGACTGACAATATTATCATCTAGTGTTAGAATGGCCCTGAAGTTTTGTCTGTACCATGAATAAATTAATCTGGGAAACATTTCTGTGTGTTTCAGCCGTTTTGCAAATCAGTGGAACCTGTCTGTGGGCACAATGGAGAAACCTACAGCAGTGTCTGTGCTGCCTATTCCGACCGTGTGGCTGTGGACTATTATGGACACTGCCAGGCTGTAGGGGTTCTTTCAGACTACGGGTTTCACACCGAGTGTGCCTTTGTTAAATGTCCCCAGCTTTCTGCTACTGGCTGCAAACCGGTCATTGCACCAGGTATGTCAACTCACTGCTGAAAGTTTGCTGCAGGTAGGAGAGAGAGACATCCAAGAGAAGGGATGAAATACAGATCTTTACCTCAGGCTAGAGCAAGCCAGTATCAAGACTCAGTCAAGTCATTCTGAAGTGGAAAGGCCTTAGCTTTAGAAGTCATGCTCCTTCAGTCTTTGAAAACTTGCAGCTGTCTCCATAGGTACTAAACACTAGACCCTAGATACTAAGTCCTAGACCCTATAACCTTGACCTATGGATACTAAACTCTAGACCCTAGACACTTGACCCTAGATACTAAACCCTAAACCCTAGGTACTAGACCCTAGACCCTAGATACTAAACACTAGACCCTATAACCTTGACCCTAGATACTAAACTCTAGACCCTATAACCTTGACCATAGATACTAAACTCTAGACCCTATAACCTTGACCATAGATACTAAACTCTAGACCCTATAACCTTGACCATAGATACTAAACTCTAGACCCTATAACCTTGACCATAGATACTAAACCCTAAACCCTAGACCCTAGGTCTGGGAGAAATTAATGGGATCTGTGGTGTATAGGGTAGAATGTCATTGGGAATGGGATGGATAATTTTTTGGAAGTGGCAGCAGTGTGGTATCTAATGACACGAATTCCACACTGTCGTCAAAGTAGAGCTCACAGAAGAATGAAGATTATATTTCATTAGAAGACAGAGTAAGACACCATATGTATTTACAGTACTGTAGAAGAGGAAGACAGTAAGAATAGTTTTGCAGTTGTGCTGTTTTGAACTGGTTTCTTATGTTGTTTTCACAAATAACTTCCTTTATGAAACAGTAATTAATGTCAGGTAATACACAGAGCAAGGAAAGCTCAGTTTTTAAAAAGTTTTATGTGTTTTTCTCATTCCCTGGTTTGAAAGAGGGTCTTCATGCTTTGGTATTATGTTTAATGTAGCAAAAGTCACTCTGTGAATGTGAATTATATATAATAATTGGGGGGAGGTTAATTACATGTGCAGTCAGGGGTAGAAAGTTGAAGTATTGTTAGCTCTTTGGTTTCTGAGGTGGTAAGGAAAAATAGAGAAATATGACAGTTTTGTGTTAAACACAAATCTGTCAGGCAAGCCCTTTTTCCACCCTTACTATATAAAGATTCTAACATGGTTTAATGGCATAAAGGACTGTTTGCAGTGTGCATAATTGCTTCTTTCATGTCCTAGCTATTTCAGCTCTTGAAATTCAATTTCTGTAGTTGCATATGCATGCATCCATACAAAACCTTGGCTTGTAGTAAATAAAGTGCCTGTGCTTACAACAATGCATCATCTTGAAACAAATGAAAATGCATCTTTTGCTTCATCTTGATAGTAGCAAATGTGTGTTGAAGGGTGACTGCTTTTGCATTATAAATGTTTTCAACATTAAAAAATCCTAGAAATTGTGCAATCCTGCTATCAAATTGAAACATTTACTTTGCATTGGTAGTTTTGCTATTTTCATTCTCAGTTAATGTTCAGCTTTTGACCTCTGCTTAGTTAAATGTTAAATGACTATTTGCTTTTATTCTGAGACTTTTTTTATTCACATAGGAGCCTGCTGTCCGCTATGTGCTGGAATGCTGAGAATCTTATATGACAAAGAAAAGCTGGATACTTTTGCAAGGGTAAACAGTTTTAAGTGCCTTATTTTAAATGGTACATGGAAAAGTCAAGTTACTGTATGCTCTCTCCTGAAAAGTTAACACATTACAAAACCAATTATTTTTCAGTAGGTAGTGTGTGATTTGTTTTTTCTTCTTTTCTGTTTATACTTTCCTTTACCTTAAGTAAGAAGTTGAATTACAATGCAAAGCAAAACAAAATTAGAGTAGGCACAAACAAGCACATTCAGGTTTGCAGTTTAAATTACTTGTAATAGTGAAGAGAAATGATACAGGTACTGAATCTATCTCATGGTAGTAATACAGTGTTTATTTGTTATTTATGGCCTTTTTATTAAGATTATTCTTCTAACTCGCTATTTCCTATCATAAATAACTCAGTTCTGTCATTGTCTTATGTTTAAATTGGATTGGTTTACACTCTTTGGATTATCTAGATAGTTGTAACTGATTTTGTTGCTCATCAGCAAAAATGTTTGATTTTAATTTAACATCTCCATAAGCTTGATACCAGCATCCTTCATTACTGCTCTTTGAAAACCTCCAGAGTAGGATGGATCTTCTGATGTTGATTGTGTATTGCTGAACCCAACATACTAGGCCCACAGTCCCCATGTGGTGTATAAAAGAATTGCACTTTATTGACCCTGGCTTTTATGCTTCCGTATATGGAACAGATCAGAACACTTGATTTTTTAAAACATCACCACAAAACAGAGTAATATGATGATCATGTCAGGTGAAGCAAAGCAATTCATGTTTGCATCTGCACATGATTTTTTTTTTTTCGATATCAAGAAAGATAATTTTGCCAAAACAGTATAAAAATTACATTAACCTGTTCATATGTTTAGAAGGAGAGATAGTTGGTTATTAATGTAAAACCACAGAAAAACTATGCTTCAGCATGACCCCTGAAGATCATCTAGTCCAACCCCTTGGTTAAACAAGGTTAACCCCAGTTAGATGAGTTTTTTAAAACCTCTAGGAGTGGAGATTGCACAAGCTGAACACTGCGGGACTCTCTCCAACATATCAGTGTGGCCTAGGGAATGGGGGCAGGATGTAAACAAAAGGGAACAATTACTTCTGCTGGCTCTGTCCTCGCTCTTCCAGATCAGTGTCTGGTTGGCCTTCATTTCAAGGGTGTGTTGCTGACTGATGTTCTACTGAGTTTCTCTCAGAGATTTTCTGTTTCTGTGTACCATGTGATTTTGCTGAGTCACAGTGTCTGTTAGGTCCTGACTGCATCCTGGGATGTCTTCAGTTGTCATCCCTAATGGTATCAGAGACATGGTGACCACTGCAGCTTCTCAGTTCATACATTACAACATGTGGCTGGAAGGAGGAAATTTTTAGTTTAGGAAGAAGGCTTTCTATTGAGGGAAATTTATTGGACTTACTCAGGTAGTATTCAGGTAGTTGGTAATAATTACACTCCTCTCACTGAAGTACCCTAGTATCTGGATTAGGGTACTTAGTAGTTGCTTTTTTTCTTTTTCCCCCCTCTATTTTTTGTTCTCTTTGTGACCAGTCTTGCTGACTTTCTCTTCTTTTGCTCCCCTAGTACCACAATACACAGTCTTTAACATTTTCAGAACTCATATATATATGTATGTATGTATATCTTTACATTTAAAATATGTGATCTCTCAAACATTCAAGTCAGCATTCTCCTAGCACATACTGGAAATTACAGAAGTTTAACTGAAGCACTCTTCTTTGGACACTTCAGTCTGGGATCATCCAGTAAGCCCCCAGAGGTGATCTGTAACTGGTCACAGCCACCTGGAGACTGCATGGTGTGACAGTACCCTGAGCACAGAGAATTAGAAGCTCTGTGCCTTTTTTAATCCAGTGTCAGTCAGAGGCCAGCTAATATCTCCTGATAATACAATAGAAAATGCCCAAGTGTGTTTTTGAGTAGATATGATACTTTGTCATCCACATGAAATTAATAACATTGGTCTCCATCAATAACATTTACACCATCAATAAAGGATTGATTACATCAATAGGATTGGTCTGGAGCTCTTGCTTTAAACAGTGTATTTACACATATAGTACTGGAGATGGTAAAAGAGATGGAATCACTGCTAGGACCTTTAACCAAACCAAGAAGGCAAGGAGTAGTAATGGATGTCTGCTTTAGTTCAGACAGCTAGTCCATATGAGAAAAAACTGATTCAATTACAGAAGAGTTCTTTAATCTGACTTATTTTTTCTTCTCCCACCCCTCCTGCCTTTTTTATAAAGATGGTAGGAAGCAAAAGACAGCATGTATGCAAAGAAACAATAGAGGTCTGTGAAAAATCTAATCTAATCTGCTAGATTTCTAATCTGAGACACTTAAGTTCTATTATTCATCATGAAAGTACCTATGTTCTTCTGTTTTAACACTGAACAAGGTTTGGTGATAAGACAGCATATTAATAGGGCTATGACAAGTAACTGACTCAAAGATCTGCTAAAGAAGTTTGACACCTTTTAAAATTGATTAATGTAGTCTATTTGCATCATGGTTTAGACCCAGCTGGTAACAACAAGGCTTACTCACACACATTCCCCCTGCCACAGTGGGGTGGGGAGGAGATAATGCAACCAAAAGCCAGTGTGTTGAGACAAGGACAGGGAAGGTTTCACTGACCATTTATGGTCATGGGCAAAACAGACTCAACTTGGGAAAAAAAATCAATATAATTTATCACCAATCAAATCAAGACAAAGAGGAAACAAAACCAGAATTAAATATCTCACCCCAACCCTCCCTTCTTCCTAGGCCCAAATTAATTTGCTCCTGATTTCTTTACCGCCTCCCCCCAAGCAGCACAGGGCGACAGGAAACAGGGTTTATGATCCGTTTATCACTCACCGTTTTCTGCCACTCATTCATCCTCAGGGAGAAGGAGTCCTCACAGCCTTCCCCTGCTCCAATGTGGCATCCCTTCTATGGGAGAGTCCTCCACAAATCTCTCCAACATGAGTCCCTCCCACAAAGTGCAGTCCCTCATGAACAGACTGCTCCAGCATGGGCTGCCTACAGGGTCACCACCTGCTGCAGGCACAGGCACCTCCCCAGATGTAAGGTCTTTCAGGGTCCAGGTCCACATCTGCTCCATCATGGTCTTCTCCATGGGTTGCAGGGCCACAGGCTGCTATCTCATCACAGGCTGCAGGAGAACCTCTGTTCAGGCACCTCCTCCCATCCTTCCTCACCAACATTGATACCTCTGCTGCAGCATTGCTCTCCCCTGCTCCTTTCCTCTGCCACTAGATATGACAGCTGTTCTTTTCCCCTTCTTGAAGATTTTCATCACACAGGTGCATCCATTGTCACTGATGGGCTCAGCCTTGGCCAGGGACAGGTCTGGATGTTGGAGCTGTGGGAACTTCCAGCAGCTTCTCACAGGAGCCACCCCTGTGGCCTCCCACTACCAAAACCCCACTACACTAATCCAGAACAACCTGGATTTCTCAGATACTATTTGTTAAGATCATCTACCAGTGGTCTTAAAATAAATAAAACTACTGTAGGGTAAGAAGGATGGATTTCTTGCAGGTAAAGCTAGAAAATAGAATACAACAGCATGACCAAAGTCATAAGTGACATATTTGTGCTGGTGTCTATACTGTTAAACACATCCAGAAGTGACATGGAAAAAAGAGGAAAAAACTTTTAAGGTGTAGCAGTCCTTAAATAGACCGAGCACCTACAATCAAATTATTGTTTGTTAGATACATACAGCAGAGCAGAGGTAAGAATTTTAAGAGAAAAATATACTTACCTGGTATTTATATAGTGATCTTGAAATGTTTCATGTTCTCACATATACAGACATATTTCCCTTCATTTCTGCTGGCTCTTAGAAAAGGATCTGTGATGGTGAAGACTGCTAGCTGGTAGGGCTGCTCTGCCTCTTGTTTCCCAGCATGGGAGTGCAAGCCACTGTAACAGATAACCACATTTTCTGACATGACATCAAGGTGTTGAAACTGAAGAGGAAAAATGTAATTTTGCATAACATTACATCATCCATGAAGTTCTTTGTTTTCTTCCAGGTAACAAATAAAAAGCCTATAACAGTACTTGACATCCTCGAGAAAATCCGCCTGCATGTCTCAGTGCCACAGTGTGATGTGTTTGGATACTTAAGCATAGAATCTGAAATTGTGATTCTCATCATTCCTGTGGATCAGAACCCCAAACCATTGCAGGTAGATTATGTTTTTATTTTGTTTACCCAGTATGGATTTACTTCTGGTTTTATATGTGTACACTTTACTATTTTCAATATAGAAGTTTTGAAACTGTGCATTTTCCTGCCTACTGAGCACATGAGCATTTATCTAGTAACTTGAATCTGAATAGCTAGTATTATGAATGGTAAAACAGATTTTAAGAATCCTGCATTTCTGGTAAGAGACTTTTGAGTGTGGGTAATTAGAGGGGGAAGGTGAAGAAAGGCCAAGGATACAATAGTATTATTTTAATTTTAGAAGTAATAAATGCAAAACCCTCAACATTCTTTGGCTAAAATAACAGAAAATATAAATTGAGGAAAATAAATAAATTACTAAATGACCTCTTATGTTAATATTAATTTTATATGAAGTGCATACTTGCATATGAAATGGTACTGTTTTGTCTTCAGTGTCAGGGTTAAATGTAGATTGAAGTTTATGTGATATTAGACTGAAGCACATACATATTGAGATCATATGAATACATTGTGCGTGTCCTGCTGTTAAGCAGTAGTATCTGTTGATACTATTCTGACACCGTCCTAGTTTTGATACTACTTCCCACTTTAGGGCAGAAAGTGCTGGGAGATCCCAAAATGTTGCTATGAACTTAAAAAGTAAAGAACATTCCAATAAGCTGCCCAACCTGCTGCGCCATAGCTAGTTCATGCTAGCAAACAAGAATCTTGCAGTACTAAACTCTAAAACCAACAAATGCAGCTCAAAGTTCTTACAGTATTTTCGTAGGAGCAGTTTCAAGGCAACACAAGCAAGGCTTTGGCTGTGTATTGCATTAATATTGTCTTGGAGCTGTTGCTTTATTTTTACTTTCTGCTTGTTAAGCTTTGCAAGACCAGTGAGAATATATTTTTCCTATTAAAAGGAACATAATTCCTTGCCATCATATAGTTGTTTATAATCTTACCTGGCCCTGCTGACAGCACTTGGAAATAAAGTACCTTTGCAGTTTAGGTGCTCTTACTGGTTCATTCTGTTTCCTGGCATGTTGATATGTACTAGTATCAAATGAAGGATTTAGCTTTGAAAAGGTAGGGGACAGAAAACTTGCCCACAATCCCTCTTACCTGTTACAATACAAACAGAATTCAGGAGGTTCATTTCCTTGGTGTTTATTTGATATTAATGGTTGCTTTCCATTTCCATTTTATTTCTACAATCTAATTTTGCATGCTTAGGATTGCTTGAAATGGGCTAAAGTTATGGTATAGTGTGAGAGGAAATAACCACTGCCATAAATGTTGCAACCTGCAGTATCTAATAGGGTAGATGTTTTTCAGACAGATATATTGTGTGTATTTTTCTTGGCCATGCTACTGAAGCAACTCTACTGTGTCCAACTGGGCTCCAATTTGTCTCCTTCTTTAGCAGAAAGAGCCTAAAATGTTACCAGGACTTAGGAAATAAGGTCTTGAGCTTTGCTAATCTGGTCAGCTCTCATCTGCAGGAGGTGCTGTCAGACTCATGGGGGAGGGGAGGACTCTCTGGAATCAGAGGCCAACCCACCCATCTCACTGATGAAACCCATTGCTGAACTAGAAGTTCCTCAAATTTCAAAGCTCTGGGCATCCAGATACTTAGTTTGTCAGATGTAGCTTGCAAAGCTGTTAAAGAGATGCAGTAACAAAGGGGTTGCAGTAAAAGGTAAGGTGGAAAAAAAAGGATTTTCTATGATAAATTCCTAAGTATCATCTTGTCAGTGGGGAGATGGAAATATTTTAGTTCCATTCTTCTCATTTCTTTTCATAAAAGAAATCTGTTTTTCCTGATTTGGAAGAAAAATCCCAATAAACAGAAAATTCTAATTTTTCCACCCTTGCAGACTTCAAGAAAGTTACCTTGGTCAATCAGGAAGCAAGTCCTCAGCTTTAGAGGTACTTACTTCAGTTACAATTTAGGGTGAGCTGTTTCGCATAGACACACCAATCACATCATGCAGTGATGTGGATGTAGCTTCCTTCCTTCACTTTTGCTGCTACTCAGGGCTTCCAAGGTAGTTTTCATAGTACCAAACTCTGTGGTAAGACCTCCAATATGTTTTCTAAGAAATACTCCCCGAAATTATCTAAATCTTATGTGCTGATTGGGATTAAGTTGGATTTTCTTTCCTTCTTTTTTTTTTTCCTTAGATTGAAGCCTGCAATAAAGAAGCAGAAAAGATAGAGTCACTGATCAATTCAGACAGTCCAACATTAGCATCACACGTACCCCTGTCAGCTCTGATTGCATCTCAAGTACAAGTTTCCTTTAGCATTTCTTCTCCTTCTGTTAAAGTGGAGCCTGATCTGCACTCCCTGTTCACAAGCCTTTTATTCACCTTGTCAGGATTAATATATTGCATATAACAGCTTAGAAAACATGCCTGAGTATTGTGGTGTTTTATATTGTGAAGGACATTCAGAATTGTTGATCACTGAACCAGAAAACAGAATTTGTAAAGGATTTTATTAACCAATACTTTTCAATGAAGAGCTAGAAGTATTTGAAATAATGTGAAAAGATTATTCTTTTGTTCATTGCTAGTCAGATGACTGTTTCAGCACAATGAGAATGTTTTTAATTGATTTTTGGAAACATAAAAATACTCTGGAAGGTTCTGACTTGATGGATTTATGATTTTTGCAATAAGGGATCTTACAGGGTTTTTTTCCAGCAGTGAACAAAATAATGTTCTGAGTTTATTGGAGAAGGTTTGTGTTACTCAGATGTGTATCAGTGACAACGAAAAGCATGCACCTACTTCCAACATCATTTTTGGAAGAAACAAATTGCTGCTACTTAATTTCCTTACCAAAAATTTAAGAGTTTGTTCTCATGTAAATATGCTTTCATGTTTTATTATGAAGAAAACTAACTGGCCCTGGGCCTATTTCAGTAGGCATCTTTACTTGGACGAGTGAAGATTTGCAGGACATTGGGCTCAATGCTTGTAAACTGACAATCAAGCTCTATACTAGTACCTGACTTCAATGAAGAAATATGTTCTTTTTATAGTTTTGTACATTGCAAAATCTCATTTTGATGCAAAAATTATATAAAAAAATCTCAATATCTATATTTAAGTGCCATTTAAAATATTGCAGTATTTGCATGTTATCTAATGAAATCTATACTTTAAATGTTTATACAAACAGTATGTTTTATTACTTACTGTATTTTATGCACCTGACCTTAGTCTATATGAAGTTTTTTATATCAGTATTATGATAGCCAACTTTTGAAATATATACAGAAAAGCTTGGTTTTGCCACAATGCTGAACTTTGAAAGAAAGCACTGAAAACTTGTTGAACATGTATGTTGTAGCATGTTTGTAGCAGTTATTTTCTGCTAAATTCTCTAAATGCAAGAGTATTAAAGCTTTTTATTTTACTAAAACTCTTCATCATGTGTCCTTGTCTATGAGTGCAATCATAGAATCATAGAATCTTAGGGGTTGGAAGGGACCTTGAAAGATCATCTAGTCCAACACCCCTGCCAGAGCAGGGTCACCTAGAGTACATCACACAGGAACTCATCCAGGGGGGTTGGAATGTCTCCAGTGAAGGAGACTCCACAACCTCCCTGGGCAGTCTGTTCCAGTGCTCTGTCACTCTCACAGTAAAAAAATTTTTTCGTATATTCACCTTGAACCTCCTATGCTCCAATTTGCACCCATTACCCCTTGTCCTATCACTGGTCATCACTGAGAAAAGCCTAACTCCATCCCCCTGACACTCACCCCTTACATATTTGTAAACATTGATGAGGTCACCCCTCAGTCTCCTTTTCTCCAAGCTAAAGAGACCCATCTCCCTCAGCCTTTCCTCATAAGGGAGATGTTCCACTCCCTTCATCATCTTCGTAGCTCTGCGCTGGACTCTTTCAAGCAGTTCCCTGTCCTTCTGGAACTGAGGGGCCCAGAACTGGATACAATACTCCAGATGTGGCCTCACCAATGCAGAATAGAGGGGGAGGAGAACCTCTCTTGACCTACTAACCACACCCTTTCTAATGCACCCCAGGATGCCATTGGCCTTCTTGGCTCATGGTCATCCTCCTGTCCACCGGAACACCCAGGTCCCTTTCTCCTACACTGCTCTCCAGCACCTCAGCCCCCGACCTGTACTGATAAATGGTGTTTCTCTTCCCCAAATGCAAAACTCTACACTTGCCCTTGTTGAACTTCATCAGGTTTCTCCCTGCCCAACTCTCCAACCTATCTAAGTCTCTCTGAATGGCAGCACAGCCTTCTGGGGTGTCAGCCACTCCTCCCAGCTTAGTGTCATCAGCAAACTTGCTGAGGGTACATTCTATACCCTCATCCAGGTCGTTGATGAAGATGTTGAACAACACCGGTCCCAGCACCGACCCTTGTGGGACTCCACTAGTAACACACCTCCAACCAGATTCTACCCCATTGACTACAACTCTCTGACTCCTTCCTTTCAACCAGTTCCTAATCCACCTCACTTCCTGGTCACCAAACCCATACCTGATCAACTTATCCACAAGGATGCTGTGGGAGACGGTGTCAAATGCTTTACTGAAATCAAGATAAACCACATCTACCGCTCTACCATCATCTATCCACCTAGTAATTTCCTCATAGAAGGCTATGAGGTTAGTCAAACATGATTTACCCTTGATAAAACCATGCTGACTGCTCTTGATGACCCCCATGTCCTTGATGTGCCTGGAGATAGTCACAAGAACAAGTTGTTCCATCACCTTTCCAGGGATGGAGGTGAGGCTGACCGGTCTATAGTTACCCGGGTCCTCCTTCTTGCCCTTCTTGTAGACTGGAGTGACATTTGCTATCCTCCAGTCCTCAGGCACCTCACCTGTTGCCCATGATTTACTGAAGATGATGGAGAGTGGCCTAGCAATGACCTCCGCCAGCTCCCTCAGCACCCTTGGGTGCATTCCATCTGGACCCATTGATTTATGGATGTCCAGATTACTCAACTGATACCTAACCCAATCCTCATCTACTATGTCAAACTCTTCCTCTATCTTGACCTCTTCTGGGGCTATATGAATCTGGGGCTCATGGGGAAATCCTGCAGGAGTAAAGACAGAGGCAAAGAAGGCATTCAGCACCTCTGCCTTCTTTATATCCTCTGTCACCAGGGCTCCCACCTCATTCCTCAGTGGGCCAATATTGCCCCTAGTGCTAGTTTTGCTAGCTATGTATTTGAAAAAGCCCTTTCTATTATCCTTAACCTGACTTGCAAGGTTAAGTTCCAAGGAGGCCTTAGCTTTCCTAATTGCCTCCCTACATCCTCTGACAACAGTCCTATATTCCTCCCAAGTGACCAGCCCCTCCTTCCATGATCTGTAGATTTTCCTTTTCCACTTAAGTTTGCCCAGCAGTTCCTTCTTTAACCATGCAGGTCTCCTAGCTCCCTTACTAGATTTCCTAACCAATATAGTGTGTATTTTTCTTTCTCTCTCAAATCAATGCTTAAAACTAAGTTATTGTCCATAACTGGCTCTGGAGGGATGCTTTGGTTTTGTTTCAGTTTATTAATTTGGCTCTTCTCAACAGGCTGTCAGTGAAGCCGAGATGCCAGCAGTGCCTGTTTGTACACCCCTTAGGCATAGATAAACCACAGGGGCAAATACCAGAGCAAATAAAAGCACGGGATTTCTGGCTTACACTTAGGGCTCGAGTTTGGAGTCCAGCAGGATCTGGGATCTCTGAATTTCAGAAAAGGTAATAGTTGTCTGTGAGGCCACTGTTGAGAGGGCATGAAATTGGCACTTAGAGCTGCAGTGGCCCTTCATAGCCCCCACTATTTTTTTCCATGCTCTAGTTTTATCCTGCTTTACCCAGTGTCACAACTTGGAGATTAGTCTCTTGACTGAAAGGGGAAGTGTTATTTATACATCTTTACTGAATTTTATTACACTTTTCCAGGTCTTTCTTTCACAAAACAAAGTATATTTCAAAACTTTTCAACACCAACACTATGTCTAGGAAGCCCTGGGAGCCAATATAAATACATTTAAGATTGTGGCCTAGATGTTTCCTTTTTGAAGTCTGGACTGCAAGATGACACTCTAGTTAAATTAATCCTAAAATAACAACAAAAAAGTAGTATTGGGAAAAAAGATTGAGCCACCACAGTAGTGCCAGACTTGACTGCAACTTGCTGCATGTTCTTTGAACTGGTGCGTTTATACAGTGGGACCAGCTTGTTGCTGTTCCATGTGGAGTACAAATGAAGGTTGACAATTGCAGGTAACAACTTGCTCTCCTAGCACCTGCTGCACCTCCTACTTCCAAGGCATTTTGTCTTCCATGGTTGTACATTGCTTGCTTTGTGCTCTTTCTCCTGCTCCTCTCTGGGCCACAAGCTTTTATAGCTCTTATGCCCACTGCATAAGCCAAAGAGACTCTCAGATAAATATACATGTATATGTATACAAATATATTTATCTCACACTGCCTTCTATCAGGCTATGTATCAGCCTCTTGAGGAAGAACACATTCGGTCACTGTAGAGCCATTTATTTTAGCAAATAATCTAAATTTCCTTTTAAAGTTTGGATTTCTAGTACAAATGGCAATCAAAGATGCAGGATCAAACTCTTGGATTTGTTATGTAATGTATACACAGTGCTGTCTAGCTGTAAGTGTGCAAAAGGGTCAAAATGCTGTCTTTGGATTGTTGCATTCTAAAATGCACCCACCAGCAGCAGTTCATTTTCCTCTGAGTTTGCAACACTGGTCCTTGCTGGTGAGGGCCACAAGCAGCTTCTGAGTACCAATGCAAACGTGGGCGTCAGTCAGGAGCAGCTACCACCTGCAGGGCAGGCAAGCTGTGGTGTGCAAGGGAGAGCTAAATTACAAGCCTTCCAGGTTCCTTAGCTGTGATCCCAAAACAGCTAACACAGCCTTGATTGTGACAATGCCAGATGATGTTACTTCATTATTTTGTCTTTATTTCATGGTTGCCATTTTTTAAGTCTGAGGTGATCTTCTCTTTTCCACATCAAATGTTTTCTATTAGCACAGCTGAACCTGAAGTTGGGTTAACCACTGTTTTAGATATTCAAACCACAGAGGTTTGCAGCTGAACTGGCAAGCTGGGGTACCTATGGAAAGAAATGAGCATTTTCAGGATGAGTCATCTGATGTATTTTAAGTATGTGTTGTAGGGTAAAAAATATTGCACTCTAGGAAAGCCTGTCAGGTCAGAGGAGAGCTGCTCCCACTGACCTAAGGAACAGTGCACAGCATATCTGTAACCAGGTTGCATTTCATTCTTAGAACAATTTTAAACCAGGTGTGAGCATACTCAAAAATCTGCAAGGGCCTGATTACAGTCCAGTACTATGCATCAATCATGTGCAGAGAGAGGGGTTTTTTTTACAAATATTTTAAAACTTCAGAGGTAAACAATATAAGTGTGGCCGAGGGCCAGAGACTCAATAAGTATTTTTGAGCTTTTCACATCGTTTTTACTGCATCAAGGATGTATGTAGTAAAGAAACTGCTTGAAACACAAAATGTTGTCATGATTCTATGAT